CTGAATAAATTTGTTTCATCTAGGTGGAGGCACTGAATAAATACCTTCACTGTAGAAGGGTTTCAGGGTAGGAAATGGAGGAACTGAGGCAAGTGGTCACAACAAAAGATTAAGTTCTTAACCTTATTAACAAACTGAAAGTTGGTAAATCACCAGGCCGAGACTTCTGGAAGAACTGATGTATTTATTGTTTCTATATTTATAAACTTATAAACTGATTCATTTATTGTTGTAAGCCATCCTGGGATGTCTTGTAAAGAACGGGGTACAAATATTGTTAATAAATAAAATGGCATTTTTGCCGGAAGTAGAAGTGAAAAGGAGTAGAGAAACTGTAGAAAGGATGGAGCAAAAGTAGAAGTAAGAAGTCAATTAAGAGCTAACAGAATGCAAAAAGGGTACAATATGAGGCGAGAATTGAAAGCAAGCAAAGGAGCCCGAGGAACGGTTAACGCAGTCACAAGCAGACTGGCGATTGGGCAGAGACTCCGTTCATTTATACCAGGGGACGGGGGGCACAGAGTTCCCACCAAAAACCATTAAAGTGATGAGCTCTTCCCAGCAGCAGGCACTGTGCAGGCGCAGCACCCTTATATGTGTGATGCACAGAGACCACAACAAAGAATTAGAAAATGACCAATGAAGCATTCATTTTGAGAAAGGAATCCAGGGAGATCCAGGAAATTACAGGCTGGTTAGCTTAATGTCTGGCTCCAGGTAAAATTGTTGAAAGTATTATTAGAGATAATATTAATAAACATATAGAAGAACAAGCCCTGCTGAAAAAGAATCAATGTGGCTTCTGCAAAAGTAAATCATTTTGTCTCACTGATAATTTAGGGTTCTTTCAGAGCATAAAAAAACCTGTGAACTGGTAGACACTGTCTATTCGAACTTTAACAAAGTCCCTCACCGAAGACTCCTAAGTGAAATTAACAGTCATGGAACAACAAGAGAGCTCTGCTTACAGATGCATGATTGGTGGATAGAAGATAATAAATGGTAAATTCTTCCAATACAGTGCTGTGAACAGGGGTTCCAACAGGGATATGAACTGCAGTTAGTGTTTTTAAACTTATTAATAAACAATCTAGAATCAGAAGTGACCAGCAAAGTAGCAAAATTTGCCAAATTATTTAGAGTGGTTAAAACAAAAAGGGATTGTGAGGAATTTCAAAAGGATTTCTCCAAACTAGGAGAATGGGCATTAAAGTAGCAAATGCAGTTCAATGTATACAGGTGTAAAGCAATGCATATTGGAGCAGAAGAATCCCACCTTCAAGTGAACAGCAGTGACTGATCAAGAAAGAGATCTAAGGACTGTTGTCAACAGCTTGATGACTCTCTGGGGTTGCTGTGAAAAAGGCCAACTCCATGTAAGACGTAATTACAAAAGAACTGCACATAAAACTGCCAATACCATGCTCCTCTTACACAAATCCATAGTGTGATTACACTTGGAACACTGTGCACACTTCTAAACACTGCACCTAAAAAGGGATATCGCAGAGCTGGAAAAAGTGAAGGCAGAGACAACTAAGATGTTCAAGGGGCTGGAACATCTCCCCTTGAAGAACAGCTTCACTTCAAGGAAAAAAAGTGAATAGAGGGAGACATGACAGAGGTGTATGAAATTATGCATCATGTGGAGAAAGTGAAGAGGGAGACATCATCCCATGAAGCTGATTGGTGGGAAATTCTCAGGGCAGATAAAAGGAAGTACTACTTCATACACAGCTTTGTTAAACTAGTCAATTAATTTCCACAAGATGTAGTGACGGCCAAATTTGGAAGGCATTAAAAGGGACGATACAAATTCATAACCATCAATGGCTACTAGTCCTGAAGGTGATATGCTACCTCCAGTATCAAAGACAATATTCCTGTGTACACCAGTTGCTGGGGAACATCGGTGCGAGGATGCTGTTGCCATCTCCTGCTTATATGTCTCCTACAGGCTGCTGTGTGAACAGAATGTTGGACTAGACGGATCTTAGTCTGATCCAGCATGAATTTCCTTAGTTCTTAATTACTGGTGCCTTCCCTAACATTTTGAATTACAATTCCCAGCATTCCTGACCACTAGCCACACTGTCAGGCCTGATGGGAGCTGAAGTCCAAAACACCCAGAGAAGCCTGTGTGGGAAAATGTAAACAGGAACAACACCTAAATGAGCCCTTATGCTCATAACCTTTCAGAAACCAACACAACCAGCAACAGCTCACAACTAGGATATTATGAAAAAGTCCCTTTAACATCTGCACTAATGTGCGCTATTTCAAGTAGTTATTCGCTTCCCTGTCTCTTCTGCAGCAGTTGAAAATGTCTAAAGCAGCAACAGTTTACAAGTGCAAAGGCTTGCCCCAAACACTGCTTAAGGATTTCCCTGGCATAAAAGGAATGCACAGAAACAAAAGGAAGAGACCAGCTCAGTGACCCTGCCTCTCGAAAATGAGCGTGTTCCATCTGTTTCCCATTTATGTAGGTAAAAGAGCACATTAGAATAGCAGAATCAGAGCAGATGGGGCCCAGGGGTCATTGAGTCCAAGGACCTGCCCTCAGGAAACCTTCTCTACGTGTTAATACAAATGCACATTCATAATACAAACTAAATCCCTTCATGACAGTTGTGACATAGGGAAAAAAAACCCAAAGCATGTGATATACAGATGTACAGATGAAGAGAAGATGAAGAGACATCAGGTCAGATTCTTTTAAATCAATTATTTAACTCTGAAAGAAAAAAAGAGCTATTTAAGTCACAGATACCCTCACTGATTTCCTAAACAATGGTTTGAATCATACAGAAATACACTACTACATAATTCATACGTACATAAGAGCATGGATGCAAAAGTGTGCTCCCACGCTAAGCCCTCCAACCACCAACATTATGTAGCACTAAAAGTGGAGATAAGGCAGCGACTGGATCTCTGCGGTGGGCTTTGCTCTTCTCTCTATCATGTCACCTTGAATTTTACTATGGCTACTGACTGCAGTAAGCCAGCAACTCAGTAAGGAGTGCTGAGGTTCCCCAGTGTCAACCTGAATGACTGCTTTACTAATGTTAATGGCAGTGGCAAGGAAGGGATTAGACTGCTCTGTTGCCACTAATGGTAGAAAGAAATCAATATTCTGGTTGGGGAGAGGGCTATGGGCATCTCCCATGGCCCTGAAGCAACAGCCCCTGAACTGTGTGAGCATATTCAAATGTATGCACCCCAGCCACCCAACTAACACCTGATACAGGCCTTGGGACCAAAGAAAATGTGTGCTCCCCAGAAACAGAATGTTATTTACACTGTGGCTTCAGTCTTGGAAATAGACCTTACATCACTTTGTTACACAGCATACATTTTTCATGTTTTTCACTGTTACAGAGGGAATGACTTTTACATATTCCAAAAGAACAGGGAAGATATTTTGGACCAACTCCCATCAGTTCAGAGAAAAAATTCTGAAAGTTATAGTCCAAAAAGCTGGAAGGTGATAGGTTAGGGAAGGCTGCCATAAAGGGTCCTCTTTCTTAAAACTAGTTTCCGTGACAGTTTCTCAAGCTGAATGGGGGAGTATAAGACCCTATGGCATTTGACAGTGTTGCGTTTTCTTCTTTTCAACATTGCCTCTCTCTACTTCACACTGTCTTAGTGCACCTCTACCATGAAACACCTGTGACTCATAGACAGAAATAAGGTTTCATAGTTACTGGAAAGACTGGAAGACTTTAGTTTTATTGGGTGCAAATAAAATGCATATGTTGGGAAGGAGGTATATATTCATACTTCAGAAAAGATCAAATTGGTTCTTCACTGATGTAGAAAAGCTCCCTTTAATTCAGAAGTTCTCGATTTTCTACCCCCAAGGCACACTTAAGTGAAGTGAAAATTACTGAGATTCATCAGAAATGAAAGGGCCTTGTCCATTCAATTAACCCACCATGATTTAATATGTCATCTATTCCTGATGATACACAAATCTTCCATGATACACATACATAAAGGAGGGAAGACTCAACAACAGGGGAAGGAAATAGATATTAATATTGCCTCACTTTGACAAAAACTGTCTTACAACCATTTTCCCAAAAAACTATACTGCAATTCAGCAGCTGTACCAATAACTCAGTTATATTGCACAGAGCTGCAACCTTTCCTGGAGGTGCATGTAATTACATCTTAAATTTCAATTTGGTTCTGTTCACCGGTTGGACGCATGAGCTACCTTCTGTTGATGGAAAGGCTCTGCTCATAGCGGGTAGCTCCCCAACCATTTGGGAGGGATTCTCCCAATCCACAGTTCATGCCATTCAGCATGGTCCCGTAACCCTTTGTGTAGCATTTTCGGGGGCAAGGAAAGAGACTGCTGTGAAGAGGGAGGGTGGGGCAGTACACACCTAAATTTGGCGCCAATCTAACGGTAGTTTAAGGTGTCTTGCACAAACGAAACATCTTGTCTACATTCGGCAAGCAAACTGAAAGCACTGATACAAAATTAGTAAATTTCTTAGTCTCTGTCTTCTAGATAAGCATGTTTATAGACATGTTAACATATTTTGCATATATAAAAATGTGAGATTCTATATTAGTGTGAATGGTGTCCGGTCTCTCAGAAAGCAACTGCTATTTAAGGCTCAGTCTTTTCACTTCAGTATTTAGCTTCTAATTATTTAATCAGACCTGTAAAATGTGTGAGTCTCCAAGTCATGCTTAGTGGAATTCCAGACACTTGGTTTGTTACCTGCCTTGAAGTACAACAACAGAAGTTGTTGTCAAGCATTCAGGCTCACCACAACACATGGCTGGCGAGTTTTGTACATCCTGGCTACAAGTCTGCATGCATGGCTAAGTACTCTTTTCCTTCCTGCAGTTTCATTCTTTTTGGAAAAAGAACAACATCTTTAGGGTGTTATTTAATCTTTAATCTCAGTATTATAGCCTCAAGGAAGAAGCAACTCTTACGTGATGCACATCAAATTAAGACTCGAAATAAAAACACTCACCACATTATAATAACTTTTGCTAAGAGCAGATGTATCAAATCCTTTTGGAGGACTCTTCAGAGTACCCGATTTGGGGGAAACAGGTTTTTCTGAAATATAAAATGTTTTAGCAATAGAATGCAATTGCATAGCCCAAGCACTAGAGGTCAAAACAAGAGGCTTCCTCATGCACTTATGATGAGATGCAGTCATATTTATTACTATTTACTGACAAGCACCAAGAGTGCATTGGACCCATTCAGAGGATTTTATCTTCGCTCAATAAGCCAAAACATAAGCAAACAATTGTCTGAGTGCTGTATCCTTGTGCCGCACCTTCACTCTTCCTTCTCATCATAATACAGTAAGCCAAAAAGTTCCCCCTTGCATTCCAGCTGGGAAACTATAGATTCTACTTTTGGAACAAGCCGTGGTCCTAAGCCACAGTCTGAAGTTAGTTTTAAGATCCTGGCTTGACACAGACTAAGTAATCATAGTTTCCTAAACTGGATGTAATAAGAAAGAATGGTCAAAGGAAAGCATGCTGAGAAGGGGAAGGGACCATGGGTTGTAAGGTTCATTCATAACTCTTTAAGTCAAGGAACAATTGTCCAAACACAATCAAGAGCAACCAGCAGAAAACATTTCAGAAGTCAGAATCTTAAAAACACACTATAATACGTTTTCTGGGATAAAAAAAACAATGCTATCTTACATGAGGGGATAAATGCATATAAGAATCATAGAACTTCCAAAATAACTTTCATGGGACTTGTAACTCTAAAAATTGGGTAAATGATATGAACTGGGCAACTTATGAAGCTGTTTCTCAAAATATCAGGGAAACTAGTTGCATAAAGATGAACACAAGGAAGATCAAAGGCAATTAAGCCAATAGCAAAGCACCATAAAATATTGGGACATTTTCCTTTTTACAAAGGCAGATTTTAAAAGCACCTGTATAATTCTGAATGATTTATTCCTCCCAAATTGCACAAGCTTACAGTCTTCTATATTGGCAAAAACACCCAAATAAACTTTGCCTTTCATTTCTCAGGTTAAAAATACAATTTGCTGCATATTTCTCAGTCCACAGAATTCAAGACTTATTATAGCCACCATCTGGTGTATTTTCTTTAAATCAAGGATAGGATCCGCATCTTACATCATCTGCAACATTCCAAATATCCTTGGACTATCTTCAGGACAAGAAAGGTGGCAGATTGTAAACTGGACAGAAGAACTGGAGGAGTGATTAACTTTTAAAGAGAGGTGCCAGGGCTTGTGTCTACCTAGAAGCCACACTTCCAAGTTTCCAATCTCCTATATGCATGAAGAAATTATCTATGTCTGTAAGCAACATCCATGAGCAGGTGTCTACACATGCACTGGAGTTCTCAGAATGAAGAATCCAATGCAGCATTCTGCTGTTGTGTAGTATAAATTAGACTGAAAAATTCATACATGTTATTTATATGAGTGGAGATACACTGCACAATCATATACCTTACATATTATACAAATGTTCCATCAAGAATATACAACTATACACTTCAGACAACAGGAACTAGTAACTCACCATTTGATTTTACTTCTCGTACATAATTACTAGGAAACCAGCCTGTCTTGCCGTTGTGAGTGCCTTCCCACCAGCCTCCTTCTTCGACTCTTGTAACATGGATAATATCTCCTTTTGTAAAAGAAAGTTCATCTTCATTGGTCTGTTGAAAATTAAATTTTGCTCTTACCACCAATTGCTGGTTGCTGTTGTCTGTCATATCCTGAAAGTGAGAAGACCAGAGAAATGCAAAGTTTCAGGTACTTTTCCAAACAACACAAAATAGTTTGATAACATTTCACAAAGGTGTTAAAATAGTTGTTGTAGTTGCCTGTATGTATGATACTATCATACTAATAGCAATAAATAAAATAAGCATATCTTATTTCAGTATTTAGAACCGGTGTTCTTCTTTCATGTATTGTTCATAGTATTTATTGCTGTCACCTAGTTGTAAGTTTTAGACTTCCAGACAAGGTTTTTATTGTGCAATTACCTTGCCTCATTCATGAAATTTTACAAATGTACAAGGCATTCTTGTTTTCCATTTGAAATCCTCCCTGTTTTCCAGCTGCCTCTTTCATCCTTTTTCACACCAGAAAAAATACTTTTAAGAAGGGAAAGACAGAATAGCTGCATGTCTTTTGACTGCTAGAACCATCCCTCTGGGAGGACCCTTATTAGCTTAATCCAATCTGCTGTCCAAATGGAACCAGTTGTTTCACCTAGGCCAACTTGGTCACTGAACCTTAATTGGCCTGTATCAGTACAGCATCAAATGCAGGAGAACCTGCACAGAAAAAAAACACAACACAAAAACAGAAAGAAAAAAAGGATGATTTAACTCCCTACTTAGGACTACTTTAAGACAGTCTGTGCAAGGATGTCCCTTCAGTATAACAATTTAAACTTGAAAACAGCATCTCATAAGAAATGGGGTAATTAGAAGACTGTGAGCTGTTTACAATATATCAGTTCTTTGCTCTTTGGACACATTCCAACAAACTGAAGCACACTTAAGCTCACTGATTTTAAAGGGCTTTAAACTTTACTGCAGCCTTATCCAACCTAGTGCTCTCCAGATCTTTTGGACTTAAAATTCCCATCAGCTGTAGCCAGCATGGAATGCTAGAAGTTGCAGTCCAAAACATAAGGAAGGCACTAGGGCTGGGAAAGGCCACTCATTGCACTGGCTTGTTGATTCTGATGCATGACTGTGCAAGATCTGAAAGCCAATCTCAAAACAGCACCCAAAACTTTAAAGCCTCACATACTTATGCTAGCGATAGGTGAGAAAGTAAGTATGAAATATCTGTGAATCTGAGTCATGCTTCCCACTTTGCAGCATTAATTAAAGAGAGTGAAAGCAGAAAAGAGCAATCAAAAATGGGTCAGCACTTACCAGACTTCGATACTGGCCCTGAAAAAGTTTTGAAGTTCTACTATGTAGAGACTGGGATCCTAAGGAATCAAAAGACTTTATTCGATGAGATGATGGCCTTGCACACACAGAGTCACTTCCTAGGCCAATGTCTGAAAAGAGAACCATGAAATACTAGACTTTCAAAAAGGCATGCAAACACACATAAAACGCACAATAGAAATGCACATTTAAACTCTATTTGCTAAACATTTATTTGATTCATACAGCACCTTTACAACAAGGAAATCATGTTCAGAGTATCTAACAAGAAAACCCAACATTTTAAAAACTTAGTTAAAATAATCATAACACAAATAAATTAAAATACTCAGTAAGAATAAAAACTGCACCCAGCCCAACACACTAGTCCCTGTGTTACTGTTTATTTATATTTATTTATTGGATTTTTATCCTGCTGCATTAGCCAATAAGGCTCCCTGAGCATAATAGTTCTGTTACGTGTTTAATGCACGTATTACATTGTTTTGATATGAATGTTTAGATTGTAATTTTGCATTTCTTATATATACTGCTTAGAAATCTTAGGATATCAAGCAGCACATAAGTGGTTTAAATCAATCAATCAAATGTATGCTGCATCTGTGTGCGGGCCTCCCAGTGGGATGAGCCAAGGAATCCCAGACACATGGGGGAGGAGAGATGCTCCAAGGAACATAAAAATGAGAGTGCTAAGCACAAAATGCATAGGTTGCAAGTTTTTCAGGAGTCTAAAGCTATTTAAGTGTACACACCAGCACTCCTACACAGGGCAGCTGAACATCTGTCTTCAGCGGGAACATCTCTGTCATAGAAATTAAAAGGCCTCTCCACACAATCCAGCACTCTAAGGCCTCTAGAACCAGACAGTCACAGAGTCCTTCTGTCTCCCTGACGACAAAGACACTCTCTTTGTTTGGAGTGAAGTGCCTAGAACCCCGATTATCACAACAAATGCAAGGATGCAGAAAAAACTGCTACGACGACTAAAAATCATATGAACTCGCTATTAGTGACTTCTCGGTTATCATTAGTTAACTCTGTGCTCCCTTCCCATTTTGGATTAGAAATCATGAAATTGTTCTAGGTGTTCTCACAAAATGGTTGGCATGGGAAAGCTTACCTATTCATAGTTTGGCTGCCATGGTTGACAAGGCTGATTACTAATTACCCATTTTCCAGAAAGTTACATAACATGCCTGAAAAACTAAGTACAAGACTGAGGAGGGAACCTGCCTAATAAAATCGGCTGTTTTGAACCCTCACCTTTCAGCTCCAACGCTAATTAGATGAGTTTCAGAAATAAGCCACTTTGCCAAGAAACTACATAACCTACTTTTAAGACAGAAGCAGGGTCTGATTATGCTCATACAAACACACACAGTTATGCTCATACACAGGCAAAATGCATACCCACATAACACACCCACATAAAAACTCACATCCACACAAAAAATACCACACAAATACACACAGCCGCATACCAATACCAGAACACAACCAGCTCACATAAGCACCCACAAAAACAAAACATACACAGCACACAAATTACTTCACACCTTCTCAAGATCCTCCAAGATGCTTCCTGCCACTGCCTACAGCACCCCCTGGCAATCTGTACCACAGGCTTAACTCTTTATTTTTTCCCTGTATTACTAGATCCATTTTGAAGCCTATCCAACGGATCCTACTTACCTGCTGTTACTTTATTTAGCGCAACTAAGGAGCTGAGCACCTTGCTGAAGTTCTGTCCTTGATAGAGATCATTTGCATCAAATGTCTAAAGAAATAAAACATATTAAGTCACACCTGGAAGAAAACCAATGCAAGTTAAAAACAAACAAACAAACTCCTTTTTTCAAATATCTCATCTACCTTTTAGGAGGAGAATATTTTATATACTCCCACAGTGTGTACACAAAGTGTGGCAATCAGCCGCACTTTGCACTGGCTACGTAAGTCTTTTAATGCTCTGGTCCAAATTAAGGTGCTGGCAAAGTTTTGAATGGCCAAAACGTGCAAATCTCAGAGGACAACTTTTTTCATGAGTACCTTCCCAAGCTCTCAGATAGTTTGGAAAGGTTCTGTTTTATGTACCCTTTTTATACAGCTGAGATCTGTCCATGGCACATGGGCAGGCATTCTGTGTTAAAGCACCCTTTTGAGAAATGCATTTTCAAGGGGTCCACCTGGCTCTTTCCATCTTGCAAAGGCACATAAAACTGTTCCAGTTAACTGTTCTCCTAACAGGCTGAAGAACCAGAGATGTGAAAGCAGACAATAGAAAAAGTTAGGTTGTACACCTTGAAAAAGCTGCATGTTGCTTAGACTAGAGACAACTAGGGTCAAATTCCTGCTCAGCTATAAAGCTTATTGATGAGCTCTGACCATTGTTTCTCAGATTTACCTGCCTTGCAGACTTGTTGTAAGCGAGCCTACCTTGTAGGTTTATTATAAGGAAAAGCAGGCTGAACAGGAATATACAACTCCTCATGCTCTTTGGATAAAATATAATTAATAATTATAAGCAATTCCAACCAAAAATAGTTAACCTGTTTCCTCTCTGTTAATTCTGTTAAGTCTGTGGTGTTATTGTTTTTTATTTTGTAAGTCACAGCAGAAAAGTGGAAACTAGAAATATAAAATGAAAACCAAAAAAAGACAAGTCTTTAACACTTACTTTCTTCAAAAGAAAGTTAAGAAGTTGTTTAATTTTTAGTTTTTTTCCTAAAATATATGCAACCTGCTCTTATATCCAGATGTGATGACTGCTAACCAAAATGTACATCTCCCAAATATCAGTGGAATTTATTCCAAAGTGTGTGGGCACAGCCATTTTGATTCATATAAGCTTGGGAGGCCCAGCAAAGTCAGGAGTGAGTTCAGAGTAAACATGTACAGAATCAAGCTGTCAATGACATTTGAGAACAGATGTTGACCTCATCCAAACACTATTAAACAAAGGGTTTTTTCACACTGAGGATTCAGTGAGATTGTGTTTAATGGGTAGAGATTTAAATTTGCCTTCATGAAAAATTGTAGCTTAGTTACTTTGTAACTCTTTAAAAGGTTCAGTTTACCTCCCATTTTTCATTTTCTCCCACATTAAAAACTGTCATATACAGCACAACCCACAGCTAAAATGTTTGGGTGTTCTCACAAAAGCCCATCTGTGAAAAAGGATTTGCATGTACATGGGGGTGAGGGGGAGGAAACTAAATGGGAAGCCTTTTGTTCCACCTCTAGTTACAGGAGAACACTTTCTGCCCTAATCAGAGGAGACGCAGCATGGTATGACCCATGCGTATATAGTCCATGAGCAGGAAAGCAGAGACTATAAAGAATGATTTTAAAACAGTATGGGACTAGTACAGTGAGTTGAACTTCACTGGTTCTATAGCAATTTGACTGCGCTCAATACACCACACCTTTTTACTCTAACATGGGCTCCATATCTGAAGAAAGGTGAAAGTGCAAATGAAATCAAAAGTACTGAAGCCTTTTAAGTAAATGCAACTTTCATGAAAATGTGTTTTGGATTTCAAAAATGTACATGACAGGGATAATTAAAATAGTATTTTGTTTTATTTGTGAATATTGGCTTCACAAATACCAGCAAAGTATTAACCAAAACATTTCATGATTTCTAAAAAAGAAACAAATCAGTCATTACTAATACAATATATAAAATAAGGAAAGCCAACATTTTACAAACTCTTCCAAGTAACTGTTCATAATCATTATTTTGCAAAGACAGAGATGTGAAAAGCATAGTGTACTTCAGAGCCACCAAAAAGGATTTTCTATGAGTTGGATTCAGATTTGATCTTTCTTAGAGTAGGCTAGAATCAGGGGGATCCAGGTTAGCCCTGACTAATTTAGATCCCACTGATTTCAATAGTCCTACTATAAGCAAAACAAAGTCTGCATCAAACCCTCTGACTTTAAATAGCATGCTTACTGTACTGCACCCAGGGAGCATTAAATACTAGTCGCTCCTGAAAAACCACTCAGAATAAGAATACTTAATTTCACTATGCTGGTAGTATTTTGTTTTTACAAAACTGAAGAGCAGTAGTGGCACTCAGCCACCCTTTACCTGGCCCAAGAAGCCTCTGGGGTGCCCTGCTCATTTTCTACAGTGCAGAACAAAGACCTTTATAGATGTTCCAAGAATCACCTATACTCAGGGCAGATATACATTATCTGAGAATACTTCAGATTCCTCTAGAACCATTCATATTATAGATTCTCCATTGCAAAACATTGCTTAATCTACGCATGTGTACATATATCACACATTCATACACTTTCTCAAGTATGCTATAATAAAAGGGGGCCGCGCCTACACCTTTGCTGTTGGCAACAGTCCTCAGTTCTCCACATCTCCAGAATGAACAGGCAGGAAGACAGAAATGGACATCCACAGCTGAGACTTGAGCACTGCACGTGTATGCCCAAAATCCAGAAGCAGTGAAATGCCTTCAATGATGTTTAAAAGGATTTATTTTTCTTTAAAGTTAAAATTAGTTTATTTCTTAAAAAATCCAAATATTCCCAACCACATAAATCTTAAGAAAATCTTGAACAAGACAGAAGCATAAAAATTAGTTTCCTAGATTCATGGACTTTTTTTCTTTTTTTACAGCAGCACTAGGGTTGACGGTAGAGATATACTAAAATTTATTGTTAAAATGATAAATTAGAATAAAAAATGTCCATAATGCATACATAATAACAGAACCTAGATTTTAAAATAGGATTTAGACTCACCTTCATTGTGGACTCTCAAGCAAAAAAGTTGCCTATCAAAAGCAGTATTTTAAAAGAAGTCAAGAAAACAGGAAGTTAAGAGGCTTATGTTTCCTGCCAGACTGAGACTATCTGGGATACTGGAAGCAAGCTGATTGGCTCATCCCAACAAGTACATCACCACTCATATACTGCACCTAGTCTGCATGAGTCAACAGGAAACTGAACAATAGGATGAAATAAAGGGTAGGGAAAGAGTAGTTTGAGTATGTAATAGTTTTATGGAAGTGGTTTCATGTCATATGGAGAATTTTCTTTACATATAACAGTAATCAGACACCAGAGTTAAAAATTAACTAATTCTTGACTGCTTAGGGTAAATCTTCCCCATCCCTGCATTAGGCAGAGAGAGGTGGCTGTCTCACACCACCAAGGAATTGGAGAGCAGAATTGTATATGCCATATGTACCCCTCCCTCCCATGTTCTCTAGGTTAGCCTGCTACTCTTAATGGTGAAGCTGTGCTGCTCTCCCTTTCAACTTCTGTATGTGGACTGGAAGAGAGAGCTACATCATGTATTAATTTCAGTTAGCAGAAATCTCTGGGGCTGGCCTTGCACCAAGTACAAATGTTATAAGCCCCAATATAACCAAAATATCAAAATATTGTTGCCATAATTATATGGTAGTTTGAAAGACCAGCTCACAGATGGGGTTTTTTTTAGGGTCAATGCCATCACCCAAGTTAATATTTTGACATACTGCCCACTTCAATAAATGTTGAACATACTAGATCATGGAATATAACAATTCTGAAAAATGTTTGTTCCCAGAAGTGCTGTGTGGCTGTAGTATTTCAACAACCACCTTTCATAATTATACTCTTTCCGCTGCTGCTAAAGCTGGATTTGTAGGACAAATCTCTCCAGAGATGCTTCAAAGTCTCAAAAAGTCAAGCTGCAGAAATGCAATTTCTAAGTACAATTGACCTAATTTTAAACAAATCAACCAACACCAGTGGCCTGTTATCATTAGTGTAAAGAGTGCATTAAAAAAATCTATAATGCTCTTGAAGCATTTCTAGGAAGTTTATAAAAACAAAATACAAACATAACTTAGCCATCATATTATAGAGTTTACTTATACATTAAGGGTGCAATTCTATGCATTTTATAACAGAAAAAGTCCTACAACTTCGAGCGCTATAACATGTTGTAACAGTAAATCCTAGATGCTACTGAAATATGAGTAACTGTGGCCAAAACCAAGCTTGAAACCAGACTGAAATGGGTCCAGATAATACATCTCATTCAAGTGTGCCAGTTGAACCATCCACAGGAGCTGATAATGGCTGTGCAAAAAGGTGACATTAGCAACAAGCCAATCACCACCAGAAAAGGGTAGATAGCATACCCAACAGCAACTCAGAGTCAAACCTTATAATAACCATGAGTCTATCCCAAGTTATATTTGTCTCACACATTTACAGAAATTGAATGTGATGCTCTATTATTGAAAGGATGCTGATCTGGGAGGTGAGACAACTGTTGTAATGGAAAGATCACAACAGGGGAGGGGAATAGAAGTACTATTAGACTGCCCCACCCCAGACCCTGACAGAATCCTCATGGTAATAGAGGACTATTCTGCTGACATGGCTGTTGAACTCTCTGGAATGTGAAAATGGACAGGCTGTAGACAGGGAGAACAAGGAGTCCTGTTAGGTGTGCTTTTATTAAATTAATTAATAACTTCTCTAAGTCTTCCTGGTTACTTGGTTTATGGAAGATCAGTTAAACAAGAATAACTGCTAGGGTCCAAACTTGAACTTGGACTAAATCCAACCAAACACAGGCTAAGGGTGAATCCTGTACAGGAGGGCACACAAATGAGAAGTATGAGGTATTCCTAGATTGTTAATCAGAAGAAGAATGAGAGCCATGCAAGTAATATAGCATGCTCCTCTTGCAATTCCTGAATTAAACAACCCAGGATTAGCTGTTCCGGGTTGTTTGATCTGCAAACCATCATCTATTTCCTGTGGTTGTATAAGGACAAAGGATTTTCACCACACTGCAAATGTTAATCTGCTCACTGATTAACAATGTAATTATCACTGTACTTTTTTGCACTTCACTTCCCTACTGACGATGCAGATTGCATCCCCCCTCCCCCGCTCTCCTCATGCTTTGCGGAACTGATGGAAGTTCAACTTAAACATCCTAAGCGTTGTGGTCAAAAACATGTGGAGGGCACCAGGTTGTGCAGAACCAACCTAAGTATTGTTATTTCAACATTTACAAAATCTCAAAAACGTGAGTGGGGGAAGTAGTAAATTGTAGCATATAGTTTCTGTAATAAAACAACAACAAACCCTGGCATGGATATACCAAAGAAAATGCTTTTTTCCTAGCAGTTACAGTTTCAATCTGGTCAAATTCAAATATGAGAGCAGGGAATGTTACTAAGCACTGTAATTAAATGTGTTGCTTTACACCATCATTTCACTGTTTCATGTGATATTAAAAATGTGTTATAAAGCAGGAGTGCAGATACTTCAGGGCTGCTTGATCTAATTTGTTGTTTTAAGCAGAACCCCGTGATTCATCAGCTAGAGTTTCACCCATTTAGGGCTAAGCAACATGTTATGGTACTGACACAGCATGAAGTTGAGCTTTGTTTTATTTTTTTACTTTGTTTTATTTTTTTTAGTAGTACAGGTGCCCTACTTCACTCCAGCAGGGAGGGTTGAAATTTTCTTGGCCCATAATTTTCCCCAAAATCTGCCTCCCAGGAGTGATTAAAGTATGGGAAAAAACATCCCCCTTAAAGTCAAGGAAGGAGATTTCAGGGGGAAACTGTGGTGGGGGAGGGGAGTTTAATTTTCCCCTGTGGAAATGCGTCCCTGAGCTAAATTAGGGTTGTGCACACTTACAGCTAAGGCTAGTCTTGGCAATTAGCACAACAAGCAGTTTGGCTCTTAAAAATAAGTAAGTGGAGTCCTAGAATTTGTCTTGAGGACCAGAAATTAATGGAGCTTACGTATTGTCCTTCCGCAGAAAAATCTACTGGTTCATTGCAGTTTTTGCTGAACAAGTGGAAATCAGAAATCCTTTCTGACTGTCTATAAATCACACCATATCCATCAGTATATCCAGATCTACCTTCTACCCACCTCTGCTGTAAAGAATCCCAGCTAAACATGATCTCACCAGATGCAGAAAACTCTTTAACAAACCATATTACTGAGGTTACAAAAACTGGGCCTATTTTGTCATCAGTTAAATGGTTGGACACCTATTCCTGATGGGTTCATTGGTCAAGGAATACTTTCAAGTCTCCAGCAAAGTCAGTGCTCAATAACTTTTCTGCCATTTCTCCTGCCCACATCCCAATCAAGAATTCCATTACTTCTGGCCCATTTCAATTTTAAAGCTCTCAAGCAATAACCAATTCATATTCATACTATCATATACAAGCAGAAAAATATAAATGACCCAGAGAGTGAACAAGCTTCCAGTCCACTCAAGTGCATGTTTACTTGGAAACAAGTCCCAAACACATGAGCATAGAACTGTAGTCTCAAGATAGACACATTTCTGAAATAATAAGTCTATTATTTGGATGGTACCACTGGATTATAGTTCATGTCTCACATAATTAAATGCTCTTCCATACTTCCAATTATTTTTACAATCCCTACACAGAGAAAATCAGATGCCAGAAAAAAGGCTAGGCTAAAATCCCTTTTCTTGCTTTCTATTTTTCTATGTAGAGATTATTCCTCCCTCTGCCTGCCTCCCAATACTGAAGAACATTTAGTAATGTGTGGTCCTGGCAATAGTCCAGTGGTAACAGTCCAGCTACCATTCAATGGGAATTAAACTAGACTCAAAATGAGTTTGAACTTATTCTGGGTTCCCAAAGAACCTTGAGAACTATAATTCTGTGAGAGTATCTAGCTACCTATAACAAAGCATCCTCAGCACCTTCAACCCAACTACAGCTCCCAGGATAATTTGGGCTAAATCATAACAGTTACAGAGCAGTATAGGTTTGCAGTGTAATTATGTTTACCTAGTCACATCTTCCATTTAACCTCCTGTGGCAATTCAGTTCAAATTATTTAGCAGAAATTCCCATGTCATGTAGTTGAGTCCATTTTGAATTTTTACTTTAATGACCAGAAATTCATTTTTAAAGCTTAGGTACACTTTCAACTTTCCCCTCTCAAAAGATCTTATTGTACTAATATTTCATTCCCAGCTTTAAATTGGACTATGCCAGGGAACTAAAACTTTCAGATTTCTACTGAAGCTCTTAAAATTTTCCACTCTTCCTCAAATAAGTTTTAAAAATGACGCATTTTACAGTCTTTCAGCATTCTCTGAGCTTGTTGCTGTTATAATAAGTAACATTCTTTCTATTTTTAAAATATATTTCAACTAGCAATTTTAAAGTTTCAGAAAGACTTCTTCACAGAAAGACAAGTACAGGCAAGGAAATAAAACAAGCTAACAGAGGTGATCAAATATAGTGATCAACTAATACTGTCTTAACGTAGTAACATGTGTAGTACTGATGGCCCTATAATTAGCATTTAAGATAGTTTATCAGAATTACTTTACAGGTAGGATGTTGTATATTCCTCCACACCGTGTATATAATTAAACCATTTTATAAAACCCAGATTTTATAAAACAAAAGATAAGCATGCGGGTGCTATCTTAACCTTGGGTAAAGAATGTTAGATTCAACTGACCCAATTTTCTACAGTTGTTCATAGGCCCATTTCAACAAGTCTGTTAAAAAAAGAACTACAGAATTCATATAAAGAAGGCTGGTAATGCAACTGATCGAGTGAGCAAAATCTAGATCACTTATGGCACAATCACCCTTTTCAAAATATAATGAAATTTACTCAGTATGACAGCTATCAAATGTTACATCTACTGGTCACATTCAAGTTAGATTGTGGAATCAAGAAAACTTACAAAACTCAAGGCAAAGTATTATTCCAAGTAACTGTATAAAAGAAAATAAGTTCCAGGGGGTGGTGGTGGGGAGTTCATTATTAACCACCTGTGAGTCAGCAATGTGTTGTCATTGCCAAGAGAAAGAAAACGCTCCTGTATACTTGGAAGTACAAGAGCAGCACACACAGAGAAGGTACATGTTGCATTCTTATTGGTACTATTGTACTTGTTATTACACACGAATAAAGGTACAATAATGCTGTGAAGAATCCAAACAGCAGCAACCAAAAGGGCTAAACACATTAAAAGAGACTAAAGAAGCAAAGGCTTCACCTAAGACTTGGAGTAGCATAAATCAATGCAGAGAACAATTCAAAGTACAAATGTCAAACCTGCAACCATACTAACACCACCCAACAGCTGACAGAGAGATCACTAGATATGATAAAAAATACTATCTGCAGAAATCTCTGCAGGTGAAACTGTAGGGCCCAAAACAGGAGGCTCCATGGATGTGTTGGGTGTAACAGTGGGTCTGAAGGATACAAAGCAATTCGTTCCCAAAGTATCTCTCAAAAGGGCCACGAGTTTCACTCATCCTGGTACTAACCTTATCAATTTTCGTCCCACTGGTGTCAATGGGATGGAACCCTGGGAGGGGGGCATTTAAATAAAAAACAAAAAAGCTACCCCCCACCACTTTCATCATCTAATCAGCAAGATATAGAAAGTAGCACTAGCTCCATCATGGATTCTCCCCAACCAAGTTCTATAAGTCTGTTCTGTAATGCTACAGCCTGTGATACTTACTGAGAAGTAAGAACCAATGAACCCAATGGGGCTTTAAAACAAACATGCACAGCATTGGGATGAGTCAAGTGTGTGTTATCTAAACTGGGGCTCCCTCCTTGTTGCTCTTTAACAAGCCAAGTTTTGAAAGAACAAGCCCTGGTTTTGCCATCATGGCTTATTAAGGATGCCACAAGCTAGGATGTGGATGACATGGTAAGCTTCCTATTTCTGTTTAGTTCAGTAAGCTTGTAGGAGAGAGAAAACAAGAAAAGCTGAAGAGCTGCATGCATTAGCACACAGTTTGTTCACAGTAAGCCAGGATTTTCTGGAATTCTGACTTACTCTTGCATAAATACTCCACACAGTTTTTAAAAACCCCGATATTAAGGAACTATGAATACAGACTTCAAACTAGTCACACTGAATATAGAAACAAATCAGTTAAAACTTGGGAAATGTGTATTCAGATGTCCTGATGCTTTAATTTTATCTCAGGGCAACTGCAGAGGGTGGGAGGAAACACTTCTGAATTTGATCAGATCACCAACACTAAGAAAAAGGAAGTTAATCTTATACTCCAATCCAACTACCTCCCTAACTGCTATTAACTCACAACTGGAAATATACAGTTGTCTTATCCAGAGGGATGAATAGCAAAGAGAGATTGCAAAAATTCAGGGGTGGGGTGGGGAGCTAAAGGCCCACTTGTGTTTGAGTGCACCTAGAACTTCAAATAATACAGAAAATATAAATATGGCCACACCAACTCCCCTCCCCACCCGACTGGGGCCTTGAGGTGTTGGGCTGGGAATGCTGGAAGTTGCAGGTACATCTAGGGAACATCTGGTTAGGGAAGGCCAGACTACACGGATAAGAATATGCCAAGCAATTATGTGGGCAAAAACCATGGCATGAGCACTGATTTGCAGAGGAGAGCTATCTGTGCATAAAGGGAAGCTTTAAGAGCAGGTTAGGGCTACCCAGCAGTCAGGCTTAAGCTCCGGCTCCCTCACTTTAATTCATTCCTTACTGGCATGCGTTCTCCAAGTGCTAGTCCTCACAGCACGCACCCCACCCCCGCACCCGAGGGATACAGGAGAGCCACCTCCGTGCTTTCCTTTGCCCACCCCATTTCCTCACCTCCAGGCGAAGGGTGGCGCCGCATGCCCGAAGGAACTCGCGGATATTGCTCAGGCACTCGCTCTCCGTGCGGGGCTCCGGATAGACCTGCAGGAGGAGAAGGGGCTCTATCAGTTTCGAGGGAATGAGTTCAGTCCTAGGAAGAGAGCTACGCAAGACCGCCCCCCCCCCCCGCCCCGCTCTCCCCAGACGCACCCTCCGTGAGGTCCGAAGTCACCCCCAGCCCCTCTCCTCCTCGCTCGGGAGGCTGCCTTGGAAGCAGCTTTGGATTTGCTTCGCCCGTGACGGGAGAGTTTGAACCAGGAAGTAAACACAGCAGCAGGAAATGGCGTGTGAGGCGGCGAGGGAAGTCCTCGGGCCCCGCTCCGAGGCAAGTTTCGCGCCCCCCCCGCCCCCCTTCGTTGGAGCAAATATCTCCCACCTCCGCCGCGCCTCTGCAGGAAAGGGGAGCCGAGCAGTTGCGTGACCAAGCGGCAAACAAAGGCGGAGGCGGTTCCTCTCGCGCCCCCGTTCTGCTGCAAGCTCACGAGCAGCGAGGCTGAACTGGAGAGCCAGACCCGGGTTGCAGTGGGAAGCCCCGGCGCCCGTTGTCTGTCTTACTGCTGCTGCCTGTTCCTTCTTCGTCTTTCTCCACTACCTGGGCTTGAATCACAGCATTAGAATAGCAACAGGGATGCCTCCAAACAGGATCGCCTACAGCATGCAGCAATGCCATTCAAATCCTAATGAGCCGCAAGCAGCGCTGGGCAAGTAACTAAAGCGAGTAGGATTTGCAGAGCAAGTAACTATAGGTGACTCGAGAAAGGGAGACAAGTCCCACTCTGCAGGAAGGCAACCGAAAAAAAGTAATTCTATCCCCAACCCCAACAGCACTCCGCCTGTCTAAAGATTCCAAGTATATCTGAAGAGTGATACCAAACAGAACTTGTGTCCCATCGCAACTCTCCACCCTCCTCCTTCCACCTTAAACATTCTGAATTTCTCAAATAAAACCTACTGATCTTGCCTAACTTCCCAATGTATTTGCAAAGGGCACATCTTACATTTCCTTCAGCTAGAAGTGGGTAAATGCAATAATTCTGATGTCACATTTGCAACTTCTGACTGCAAACCAGGTTGCTAAGCTGAAAGCTGTAAAATAGGGAAACATGTCCCTTTGAAACTAATGTCATTTATTATGTTATTAGAATAGCCTGCCTCCTTTTTTTTAACTTACTCGAAGCAGTTTACATTATTCCGCTCCTGCTACTCTGCATCTCACAACCACCACCTTAAACTCATTCCCTCGAAACTGACCCGAGCCCCTTCTTAGACTAATCTCCTAAATTTTGAAGTGCAGACCATCATGATGGTTCCTATAGCAAAGGCATCTTGCCATTTACCCTTTCCAATTCCTAGCAGCCCCTGCATGACTAATGGTCAGGAATGATTAAGAATTATGGCCCAACACCATCTGGAGGACCACAGATTCTATCTGCCTGTAAAACTAGATGATGGGTTACAGTGTGTCCTGTCCATCTTTTAAAAAAAAATGTTAACAGGGTGGATGGGACTTTCTACCATATGTGGTGGACTTGTGAAAAAATTAAAATATTTTGAGGTTGATACATGAGGAAATACAAAACATCTTTAAACCTAAGTTTCCTATAAGTCCTAAGAATAGGCTTTTGAATATAATACCAGAGGTTTTTCAAAGAATATGTCAGTTATTTAAATATATGACAACTGCAGCAAGAATTACAATTGCTTCTAAATGGAAATTATCAGAATCCCCAACAATTGAAGAATGGAAAAATAAGCTGGCAGAATAGGCAGTGATAGCAAAATTAACTAATTATGCAAATTGAAGACTAGTTGAAGAATTTAATGACAAATGAAAATTCTATTATATTCAGTACAATTAATTGGGTGCAAAAGGGAGTTCTTTAAAAAGTAGTTGAGGATTTATAATTGACATAAAGTAGTTGGAAAATTTGTTGGTGTACAGAATAATAACTCCCTCTTTTCTGAACTTTCATAGAGCGCTGAATGATAGAGATATTTTTGGCCTCTTTGAAACTTGTGCACTTGAATGTATTGGTTGTACTTGTTTAAAATCCCTTGGCAACTTTATTCTATTTTACATATACTGTTCTTCTTTTTGTATTCTGTTTATGTTAAGAAACTAAAGTTCTTAATGAGAAAAAAAAACGTTGAGATGAGACAGAAATGTATGCACAGGATTTCAAAAATAGATTATGACTCTAAATGATCAAATCCTCTTGGTTTGCAGGCAAAACCACTGTCTGTACTGTGATACATAGTAGCAGTTGCATTTTGAATGAATGAATAAATGAAAAGCCAAATATTCTTGCCCTGTCAATAATATTCTGCAGAAAATAATGGCAAAATTTCAAATGTTTCCAAGTGCTGCCTTGGAATATTTGAGATTTTCTGGAGATTGCTACAAATTAAAAGAAATTAGTTGAGGAAAAAACACTTGTGAAGAAACTTAAAAGATATTACATAAAACCTTTACAACATGAGAGGAAACTTGGGATGTTGCCCTTTTACACAGTGAAAATTCTTCTCATTGATTATTTAAAACATGGACACACTAGAATAGAAATAAATAGCCAGTGTTTATCTTGAGAGGTAGTCAATACAGTGCCACCCTGTAAATAATTTTTTAAATCAGAAGAGTGCCAACACAGACAATCATATAATTCTTTTTCTGTGCCTGATGTATGGGCAAGTTAATAGATGAGCAAGCTAATAGATGAGAACTTGTTGCAGAATGGACTGTGATGAAGGATCTAGAAACACTTTCATAGGGACAGTAAGGACAACTGTGGAGGTACATACCTGTGAATAGTCCTACCGAGATCACTGAAGACTACTCTACATGTCTGAGTTCTTAAAAGCTCTGTAACAATAATTATAAATAAAAATAGTATACTTCTTGTCCCCACAGTTGTGAAGAATAACTTGAAAGTGTTTGGGCAGTTTCAGCTTAATGACTTGAGACTGAGTGCCAAGTCATAAAGCCATTATGTTAAGTCAGTTATGGCACAAGGCCACCAATGGCTGTCCTTTTTTTATGGATTCAGCTGTCCTGTGAGCAGTTAAGTTCACAGTTAGCTATCTCCTATTCAAATTCAGATTCTCAAGTAAGTTTTGCGCAACACTCTCATCTCCTATTGGCGCACTCAGAAGACTAGTTATCATGTACCTCCCCTCAAAAATTGCACTCCTAATGGTTACATATTACTATCTGTATTGGAGACAATATACCTCTCAACTGCAGCCCCTAACTAACATGAACGAGAAGGTCCTATTGTGCTCATCTTCTGCCTGTTTCTCATGGGCATCCAGTAGGTCACTGCGTGAACTAGACAGACCTTTAGTCTGATCTAGCACACCTTATCACCATTTCAGTATACTAATGAAGCACATTTTGCTCTAAGAATGCCCTAGATGTCAGGGCTGAAAGCTATTTCCCTCCACCTAATCTTACCCAGATCAGTTTAGTCCTTTACCACTCTGACAGCATTCGGCTGCCCTTCTTTGCCTCCAGTAAAAATAAATCTATATTCCGCACAAAGAGATGTCTGGTTTCTATGAACAACAGATCAGATGTCAAAGCTGTTACTAGTCTGTTCCATTCAGAATAGATGTAAGTAACTACAGGTTTGAATTATTTCTCATGGCAGAAAAGAAATAAATCCCCATACATACATACATACATACATACATACATACACACACACACACACACACACACACACACACACATATATATATATATATATATATATATATATATATATAAAACAAAAAACAAAAAAACAGCATGTCAGGAGGAAAGCCAGAAAAAAAATCCCCTAAGTCTGGTTTACTATATTCAACAAGGGTTTTGTTTTGTTTTTGTTAGAGTAGAAGTCCAATCAGTCTTAAAGTGACAATTCAGATAAAGCTAAGATTGCCTTTTCAACAGGTTGAGTGGTGTGGGAAGTAAGAGTATGGAAAGTCTATGCAGAAAGGAGAGCCTGAGAGAAAAATATTATTTACTTTGTGACGTATGAGACAATGAAATATCAAAGCAGATATATCAGACAGGACTGAATGGTGGAAGAAAATTTTGAGGTAGAGCTGAGTGATCAGAGGTGAGGAACCACGTTGCCTCTCTGGACCAATGTGAACCATCAGATTAAAGTGGTGGAAGAACTCACCCCAAGAGCTACTTCTGTGACATCACCCAGACCCACTTCTTTCTTTTCCTATGCAGATAGGGAAACATGCCTGTCTCTGCACAGAAAAAAGTACTCAGGCAGCAACTAACAGCATAATCAGCATGGCCCTACATATATAAGAGTTACTTTTCATGAGCATGTGAGAATTAGTTGTACCCACCTTTCCGTTAAATAACTCACACTTTATCCTTTCCAACATCTAGGTTAGGCTAAGGGACAGTGCATTGCCCCAAGCCACTTAGTGACCTTCATAACTGAGTGAAGGAGTGAATCTGAGTTTCCCATGCTTAAGCCCAAGCTTTGAGTTCAGACCTGAACAACTTGCCACTTGCCAAGCTGACCACAGCATGTGGCACCCCAACAGGTGATTGCTGAACACCGTTTTCGCTACACAGGACCACATTAAAAGGGTAGAAGATGCACTCCAAGATATCTGGAGCACATGAGGCTGGGAAAGGCTAGCTTAGCACATCACAATTTATATACGCTTATGCCTCTCATGCTGACAGACAGACTCCCAAATGGTCTGCAGCAGGTATCAGCTGACAGATGAAATCTGGCCCCATAAGTCATAGTGGGCATCTGGACCTTCAGGAGCAAGTATCAGTTCCCTGCTCCCTGAGCCATCAGGACACCTGGTGTTAAAATTAATTTGGTACATGTTCCAGGAATGTTTGTATGACCTTTGTTCAAAGAGTTTACATTTTAAATACTTAATATGCATTATTATTTCCTGAACAGACCAAACACAGCTGTCCTCTACAGATTATTCCTGTCAGAAGCACACACAGCCTACACAGGAGGCTGCACATAGTGACTGCTGTTAGAGAAAAAGGCTGTATGTGTGTAAATATG